GTGTTTGCTGTTGTGCTATTATGACCTGATAAAATTGCAGAATGAAACACTGACTTGTAGACCGGAACAATGATACTTAAACAAGCACGAGCAGCGTAATGTCAGCTTCGAGTTCTTATTGGTCGTCCACGCTAGTAGCGTATCGCCTAACCCGGCCGGTTGAGTTTAGAACGCCGATATCAGCCTCTGCTATATCAGTCACGTATCCCAGACATACACAGCTTATATACAGCCAAATCAGGCCGCACCGTATCATAAAATAGAAAATAACAATTATACAAGGTCATACACAAAGTGGCCGTGATATAGGAATAATCAACGTAACCCATTATGGATGGCGCACTTATTCAGTCGTGAAATGCAAAGACATAAGTGTTTTCAGGTATATAAAACAATACTAGCTACTTTCAATACGCTGACGACACTTTAAATTATTTTGAGGTTTCGTCGATTTATATGTTTGATTCCCCGTTTTGGTATCATATGGGACTATTATTATTGATTTCGTTTGTGTTCCTAATATTTGTTCCGTTTTTTAACGGTTGTGTAGATTCCCACTGACTCAGGTTTATTCCACTCGGTCACAGGACTGTTATGGCTGCCTTATTGGAGTGAAATTCCTTTTTCTGTTTATCGGGAACGTGTGTTTTTACAGAAAGCAATGGTTACCCATCGCCTATGGGAACTGAATTGATGTGCTTTCTGTGGGCGTTCCTCGACTAGCAGGCCCACTGTTTGTCACCCGCCACATTCATCCACAGAAATTTCTGTTATACAAACCTTTTGATCACACAGAATAGAGATGTTTTTTGTCAAGGTATTTTGTGTGGTTTATACTTATTGGTGTTACCGTTAGGAACTTACCAAACCGAACTATTTAGTTGTGAAGTTATCTGTTGGAAAAGACAAGTGCATAAAGTTCCACCAGATGAGATAAGGAATCAGTTCAGACATTACACTCAACATGCATTATTTTGTAACGACTTCTATGGATAAAGTCATTATGCAATACAGTTCAACCTTCAAGACAAGTTTATAAGAGTGAAGATACTTACGATTATATAATTTGATTGTTAGGTTACTCATTACCTAGTGCCTATAGACAGCGTGTATGGACCAGTAATTTCAGACTCCAACGCGCTTTTCTTTCTTAGATGAGTTATTTTTATCTGATTACAATAAGTGTTGAGTTGACAACCTATGTTTTTATGCCTTCTCACTACGACAAGGGATTGGTTCATTGCTTAAGCAGTTGTGTTAGTTTTTCATTACCAATTATCACATCACTGCGATGTCTAACGTTTCGTACACTAAACGGTGATACTTTTAGTTGGAATATATTTTTACAATTTGCCGTTTACTAGCTTTGTCTTTGAGCTCGCCTTAATTTTCCTAGCCGGTAGGTACCCCATGTTTTATCCAAAGAAGAGGCCAGACCTGTGGCTGAACAATTCTTCTTTCAGATTATGTAGCATAACATTTGAAACTTTGGGTTATCTATTCAGGTACACTACGTTTTCAACGTTCAATATTTATAGAAAAAATAATGCTTACACAAAATGAGGAAGTGAATAAATACTTGAGGCGTGTTTTGACACTACTCAGATGTTTTCGGTCAACTCCTAGCCAGTCAGTCCGGGTTGTTACAAGCTCTTGAGAACTATTCAAGTTGCGAGCATATCCAGTAAAAATTACTATCTCACCATTTGGTGCCTTTTGGACAAGCCTAAGCTACTGTTTTTCTGAGTCGCTAGTCTCGAAATGTCAGGTTACTACCCAGACTGATGTCAGATTGTACCGTGGCACTCGGGTTTAGCAAGCCAGCAAATCAACATGATTCATTGATAGGACATGATAATTGTAATCCTTATGCACAGCCCTCCCCATTTAGCGACTTCCGAAATATTACTGCAAGACAGTGATGTGAAGCTTTGAGAGGAATTAACTATTTAGTGTCCCTGTATATGATTCCTATTAGATCGCATGATGTTTTCTATCGAAACACACGTACCACTAACCGTCCAGCTAACAGGGCTCAGACGCATCCGAATAGTCTAGCTTGTCCCGTCATTGTGTCGGTGATCCCTTTTTCCGTCCGTCGATTTACGTGAACTCATAATCTCTTTAAACATGAGAGACCGTCTGTCTCGATCAACGACTGTACGATGGTACGTGTACAAAATCCATTCTCGTAGTTGACTCATTTAGTTCTGTTACTCACCAATGTGATTTAACTATATACGAGGACTAGTGGCATGTGTATTTCGATAGCAAACATCATGCGATCTATTTGGAGTCAGATGCAGGATCACTAAATGTGACGAGCCCGTCGACAACGCGATTTATAGACTGAAAACGATCCGTTTATTGATTTGTACAAAGTCATTTCATCTGAAAGGGAGTTTAACAATTTTAAGAGTTGTCTTTTCTGTCTAACTCTATGAGAAAGATATGCTCAACGAGAGGGTTTGTCACTAAAGGCGGCAAAAACAAGAAATTACGCATCAGGCGGTATAGTAACGTGAAGTACTTCTCCAGACATTCTTTACGATGAAGCTAAGAAGTAAATTATCCGAAGGAGCCACATCACACTGATATCACTACTAGCCAAGGAAAATACTACCACTTCAGTATTTCTCTATAGATGTCTCCCCACTCTGTCCTTTCGTACCATATTCTCAATGTTCATTCTTACGTATTATCATTGGCACCGCAGTATTTCACGGTCTCTCGGTATTTTCTCCGTCATGCTAATGTGGCATTGAGACTTGTGCTGACTCATGTTCGACAGGTTTCCCGTTGATAATGACACTGAATGCTAGTATTACGAGAGACATTTGTCAGTAAGTTTAGAACGAAGATTCACGACATGGTTTGGTGCCTTTATTTCTAGAAGTATAATTCACTAGTGTGACCTATTTGAGTTGGGACTGATCGAGTCCAGTCTTAAATGTAGTCGTAAACACTCGGAGAGTCTACACAATTCATTGAAATTCCATAGGTAAAGACACCGGTTGTTAGCTGAATACTTCGGTTACAACCACTTATTTAAGCTAGTTTAGGATGGATTTCACGAACAGCAAGTGTACATTAATGTGGTCTGGTTAGATATTCATTTATTTCACAAGGTCCGCTTCAATGGATTCGTACGTGTTATCTCACATAAACGTATTTGGTTACTCAAAGTACCCATTTACTCGAATGCACTGGTCATAAACAGCCTGTATCACATCCCCATAAGTCTTGCTAATGCTTTCGACAACGATATTCGTGCTTTCCTAAGACATGTGTATCTTGGGTTATCTAATTGAAGTACTGTTAATTAACATGATATAGCACGACTATTATGTGAGAATACCGAGAAGGTTTTGTTCGTCTTGTTACCATTTAGGTGTGGAGTCAGATTTCTGTGAACGCAACGACGTATTTTTATTAGGATCCTTTTTGAGTACCGTTTCTATAATGGTCAGGAAATTCGTTACTGTGCACTGAATCGATTGATTTGTTTGTGATAGGAGTTCCGGTTTTTATATTGGTTCTACCACCATTTGCTGTTATTCAGTGTTTAAGTGCAATTTAATAACGTCACCTGCATTCACTCATTCAGGTACAAAATAAGCTCATTAATCAGCTTATCTGCTAGGATTATTAACTTATGTAAAATTCCACGTTCGTTTTTCTTAACTGAAAGTCAGGTGTTTGAACCACTTATCCACTGTTACTTCCTAAAATATATTTCTACATCATGCAGCCTTTCCTTTGAATCAAGACGCAAGTCCAGAGAAATTCACAAATATATTGAGTTTCTGTACCTTTACTGATTCAGGTTGCAAAATAAAAAGTTTTCTGTTGTCGGACCAAGTAAAAAGTTCTGTAATATTTAATATATCTAAGAACGATATACTTTATTCATATCGTATCGGACTCAAGTGAGAGTATGATGTAAACTAGTACGTGCTTGGTTTGTGGTCGACTTATGATTCCTTGAGTAGAAAGCTAAGAGCGAAATCCCTGTAGTATGAAAACCAAAATATGAAGGATTAAAAACACTAAGACAGTATAGAAAGGAAAACTCATTCAAAGAGGTTTTTGTTTATGCTTTTATGCTTTTTAAAACCTTACGTGGGAAGCGAAAAGAATCCATTCTTAAAGAGAAAGATATGTGACACAAACCACGTATAGGCTCATGTACTAAGCTGCACTTCACACTTGTAAGGACTGGTGGTTCTTACGGGCTAAGCTTTCGTGATATTTATATTATCTTTGGTCACTGGATTGTGATGTATATCTTAGGGAATAGAGACGCCAAATATATTTCCAGCTCTTCTCATTTTTAACTAATTCCATGTCGTTATAGTTGAATATTTGAAAATTGGTTTTCAACTAGCAGCAAAGACCTATAACTTGTTACATTTACTCTTGAATACTAGTTTTAGAACAAGTAATTGGTTGCTTAGTGGCGTTCTTTAGTTAACTTCAGGTGATATTAGCAACAATAAATAAACCAAACATTGTTAGCTTTTTCTAAATGTGTTCAAGTAACCAAATCTGGTTTTGAGAAGTGAAGTTGCTTGTGAGTCACTATTATCTGTGACTATACACAGTCGAACCTTCAGATTGCGTACGATATTTTTACTAAGTGCTTAATATATTTGAGTGATAAAACCTCAGACAAATGCATATAGGGATACTTAACTCGGAAACATAATAGTAAAATAAGTATTTGAAAGGGGTTTCTGTGACTAATTTTACTTCTAACTTCTTTTTTTTAGCATGTTAGTAGACTTCCCACTCCTATCTACTCATTTTGATTCTCGTACATTAGTCCATTCACTTTTATTTCATGTTCATTCTTTTATTTTTTGTTTTAGATTTTAATATCAACTGGATTTGAACTGTCCACAGTTATACTTATTTGCTTACAGGGAATCTGAATATTCGTAGAATACGGAACGTTTTACTGCTTGACTATTTACCTGTAGGCTTTTATATTCTAAACTATGAATATGCTCAAAATACCAAATACTGCACTGTTATTTTTCGACTATTTTTCAACCGGAACCTTTTTCATACTCTTGATTTACCTCTTTACCAGACTTTGTACACACTTGCTTCATTTTCCGTCACTAAATTGTCATTTAGATGTGATAATTTATCAAAGCCGTGCCGTTATCATTTTTCTTGTAGTATTTGTATACTTCGTTGGTGTTTTGACATGCAAAATAAACGATAAATTTTTGGTCTATACGATGCTGAGGAATCGAAGACGGTTAAATACTCTGTTATATACACTTATCCTTTTCACTTTCGCCCTATGCTCATTGTGTTCAGTTATATTTGTACCGTATACCAGCTTTGCTATATTTCTACTCTCCACCTCGGTCTTCTTGTTATTTTCAGACTTGTCTATATTTTTGATTGTACTGGAGGTAAGCTGTTCATTTTCGACTTCAATCACTTTATTTGTAGTACTATTTATTGGAAACTGAATTGTTGAATTATCAACATGCTAAACGCCATTGTTTACTCAGTCATTTATTTTCAAACCAATTATTTGTGGATCATATACTTGGTATGTTTCTAAAAACTTCTTTGTTCAGCATCAGTATCACATCGAAATATGCATACTTGGAAAGTATCTTTAAATCTACTTTGATGGAGCAAATTATGTACATTGTGATCATATTTGTTTTCCTACCATCATTTATGAGGATATTTGCGTCGTATGTGAGAAGAATGTGCGGTAAACAGCAAAAGTGCTTAGTGTCGAAGTCAGTGATTTTAAACTTTTTCTTTTAACTTTCCGTGTATTTTTTGGCTTTATTTTGCTTTGATATGTCTAAAAGTTGGTGGAGATCAAAGGATGCTAAACAATTGTTTCAACCTGTATTAGTACCTAGCCACTGTAATGATCCATAATAGTAGTTACTCAGTGAACTAAAGCAGTTGGCTCAAATGACGTATCTAGTATTTACAACGCTAATTAAATTGCGATATCGTACAAAGTTACCCGCTTCTGTGACTTATGTTACTATCATTGAAGAGCAGTTAATTATCAGGAGTTTTCAGGACCTCTTTAGTCCACTTACTGATTAACATCAAAGAATAAATTCAGGGTCTGACGTTTCTACGGCTTTCAGTAAAATAGAATGGAATATTTAAAATAACGTTTGTCTAGATTTGAACCAATAGTTTCATAATAGTTGGGCGTCTACATTAGGGAGTAGAATTGTATTTGTAAAATCTCAGCAACTAAGTTTTAAGTCAATCCAGTGTTTCGCTCGGTAATCTGGTCCAAGCCTTTACAAGGAAATATAATCAAACATTAAAATTGTCGAAGACAAATAAGTACATGGTTCTCCGGTTAACTGTACCATAAACAGGTCACCTAATCATGTTAACACTGTTGAAAGTAAGAATTTGCTGTAATGCGTAGGGGAAGGTGTGTTAAGATAACAGTTGTATTTGTAAGTGGATCCGAGGTAAGAGAAAAAATTTCGCTGATTACATATCACTTATCGATGAATTTTCTGATGAAAACAGGAAATTTCTGTCGCTGATACGAGTCAAACACGTTACAGCATGCATTAAATGAAGTTAAATAAGAATAAGAAACGTTTTTGTTATTGTTTCGCCTCTGTTTGAAAAGTTTAAAATATGGTTGTTACTGATGTAATATACGGTCCAGTTGTCTGACTCGTTTTTAGTAGTTGATCGTTATAGTTTGTATTCAACCATCTTAGTCGAATTCGATTTTATGTTACTCTCACGACAGTAAAATGAATTTGTTTTTATTCGTTTATCGTGAAGTATTTTAGTGGATTCTTTCAATAACGTAATTTTTGACGCGCATAGAAATATTGAGACCAACGTTTAGGTCAATAAGTAAATGCCCATGCAATAATTATCACATTTTTCAAAGATTGTTCGTATTGTCCAAAGATTATACAATTGGCAAGTGGAAGTTATGCTAGTCGTTACTGTCTCAATTTTATTGATTAGCTTGTTATTTTATTGTTGTTCATTAAATTTCATTCACCACAAGTTTTATTTAATTTTCGGGAATATCAAATTTTCTCTAAAGCTTCATTTTCCTTACGAAAACACCAATCATATGGATATGTATACATTTACGTTTCCAATTTATTGTGTATCTATCCGTAGATATACTGTATACATGACGTTTCAGAATCCGAACATGAGTATCGACAATCGAACTCTTGTGTTGACTTCATCCAACGTTATCTACTATAACTACCTAAAAATCCTTGTTTCATCATATATAATGCATTGATGCACCTTATTATGAACTTGATAATAGCAAACCAAAGTCCATTGCTTCGAGAAAATTATTCACTATTTTTTTAAATAAATTGGAAATTTGTCGGAAACTTGCTTCTAATTCTCTGCGAATCGGGCTTAGTTCACAGTAACCGATATATCTTTGCACAATATTCTGTGTTGTGTTCGTCTTACGGTCATTCAATCAGTCAAATTGCATATAAGGATATAATACAGGAAGAAAGAATCAGTTGGTAGAAAGAAAGATATGAAGCGATTTTAATCTCTTAGTTTAAGGGAAGACAGATAGTGTATACACCTACGCCATTGTGATCGATTCTGGGTCATGTCACCCAGAGTCTCCAACCATTGGTTACGATAGTCATGTGGACCCCAACCAAGTAGTCTGTATCTACCAACATGGCTCAGACTAGAAGTTAGTGACTTCAAGCACTGATGCCACGTTTTGGTTTGGCCGCCCCTAACCTTCTTTCTATCTCCAACACCAGTCAGCATTGCGTTCCGTGGTAATCGGTGTTCATGCATGCGTAACACGGCCCAACCATCTCATTCGATGAAGATTCACCTCATCAACTGATTTACCATCATTCCCTAATACCTTGCGTCTAACCTCACTATTACTTACCCGGTGATCCCAGCAGATACGAGCAATATTTCTAGGACATCTGTGGTCAAATACGAGTGTCTTCTATCCTTGATGGCCATGCTTCGCTGCCGTAAAGTAGAACAGAACAGACTACCGCGCAGTATACTCGTCCCTTAGTTGATAGACGGATATCTCGCCTTCTCTATAGGTGACGTAAGTTGGCAAAAGCCAAACAAGCTTTCTGAATCCGTGATGAGGTTTCGTCAGACACCAACCCATTAGGGCTGATCAAACTTCCAAGATAAGTGAAGTTGTCGGCTCCTAGTCTATTTTACTCCCTATCCTCAGTTCAGGTGTTGACGCAGGCCAACTCTGGAGCCAAGGTTTGCATTTAGAGGGGAGAAATGCATACCAAACATCCTGACATTGTTGCTTAGTGCTACCAAAAGGTGCTCTCATGCGTTTTTTTATTTCTCACATAACGTGCCTAATATTCTTTTTATCTTCATTTTAGTAAGTGGGTATCCAGCTCAACACGAAAGCGTAGACATTCATACTCATCTGGCCACTCTTATGTGGAGTATCGACGTATGAGTATCCACAACCTTACTGGTTATGATGTCAACCCGAATCGTTCTGATAAGTGTTGGTCTACTACTTTCATGATATTTGTCAGCTTGATAATACTTCATTTAAATAATCGGTATTCTGAGCGAATTAGTTCTTTCAAGCACAATTCAAGTGAGAATGAAGTTTTTCCTATCTTATATAATGTTACTGCTTATGAAGTTACTAGTATCTTCCGTTTCATTTACAATATATTGCACTTTATCAATGTCAATATGGTGGTCTACTTGTTTCTCGGATTGCTATTATTTAAGCGTATCAGATTGAATAAACCTACTAACTCACAATTACGTAACTTGAATATTCCTAAAATAAAAGAGACCTTGCTTAGTGACCAAGTAAAGCAGTCTCCAGTATTACCAGAATTTTCGAAAAAATTAAATGATGTTCCTCTTCAGTCAAGAAGACGGATATATTGTTTACGTAAAGTAAGTGTTGTAGTTTTCACGTTTAATGTACTTAAAGAACAAATGATTTTTTTTGTAATTTATTTACATAGAACTAATGCTTATTACAACATTTAGTAGGTTTCAGTGATCTGCGAAAATATGTCAACTAAAATTAAGTAAACACCGGATGAGCTTGATAATGCCACTAATTTTCATTTTGTAACAATTTCAAATTACCTGCATTGGTTTTCCGGTATGTTTTGGATTTACAGTGACTTCATGGGATATTCTTGATAATAAACTTTTGATAGCGAAATCTTTAATTCAAAGTAGGTTATTAAAGGATATCAAATGGACAACCCATTCATCTTTGTCCTTTACAGTCTGTTTAGTTCTCGAATTTGAAACTCCTAACTGTCTGTTTACCGGAGTTTTTTGGTATGGGGTTTGTAAAGACATGATTGAAATTTGATAGTTTGATTCTTAGTATTATGACTAACATTGTCACTACCACTCATGTTAGATGTTTAAAGTGGATATCTGACATTACGTATAGGTAGTAATTATTCTATTCAGTTTATACCGTCAGTTTCCCGTTTAATTAACTGAACTGTTGGTTGGTTCTATGATTATTTATTATCAGATTCATCAGTTGAAATTTAACTCCTCTTCACTCTTATGAGTTCCTTATTATGACAGCTTTTACAACAAACGACTTATTGTTAGGTAATACCGTAGTAATTGTAGGTGTGGTGTGTGCCAATGATGTCGACAGATATAAGTAGTATGTACCATCAGTCGAAAGTGAGATACCTGGCGTTAGAAGGTTAAGAAGATCTAAAAAAAGAGAACGAGAGCAGAATGGTTGGTGTGGAAACAAAGGAACAATGAAATCTGAGACATTTGACTGATATTTTGTAAATGAAGTATTTACTGTATGGTTCTCGGATTTAACTAAGAGATTATGTAATTTTGTGTTCAAATACATTCGATTGTCCCCACTTGTGTTCTCGTTCACTATAGTAAGTACTTTTCATCATTTAATGTTGAACTTATCTTTTTACAAATAATTTTCGGTTTATTTTATCAAGTAGGGTTTACAGATTTTCTGATAACCATCGTCTTATTACACTATCGAGATTTTCTATAGTCTGCTATCCCAATGGTACCGGCTTACTACTTTCTAAGCTCCTGTTTCATAATCGACCATATAACAGATCCATTATGATATACTACCATAATAATATAACTTGTGATATTCTAGATATATAAGAATCAGATATTAATTGCTTCAAAATTTGACAAAAGACGATCAATACTCAGTTTTTAGTTTTTTATTCATCGGATTCTACTGATATATCACTTTATCTATTTCACTCATTCTGATAGTTTTATTTGCAACAGTCGATCCACATATTTTATGATCTTATTACTGAGAAAGGATAAAATGATTTGCATCATACGACATATGTGAAATAGTGTATTTGTAATGCACGAAAACATAGGTGGGGACAACCGATTTGTTTTAATACAAAATTAAAGAGTATCTGGGTAAAATATAAGAGCCATATAATGAATACTTCATTTGTAAGTTTCCATCATTTGTCCTTCACATTCTGCACGATTCTTCAAGTTTACGATTCCTTTTTATTTCCTCTTCTATTCACAACTCAATCTTCTTAGCATTCTGATGCCAGGTTTTCCACTTCCTATAGGTGTTACATACTATTTCTATCGACAGACATATGAAGCATACACCACATATTGACCATCTGAATTACTATTGGCATTATCATTATTATTATAAACTTCTTCACCAGGTAATTGGGTACAAGCTAATGATACTTCCCGGTTGTGGGGTGGAGTTCGAACCTGGGACTGGGTGAATGGAGGTTGAGCACCTTATTCACTAAGTTACTTTGCAGTGATGTAAAAAGAAAAAAAATCTAATAACTTAATAAATTTTTATGTGAAAAGTTTATGTTTATCCGCGAAAATTAGCACATATTACATACCAGATATGCACTTTACGAAACAGAAACGATGTTTTTGTCAGAGTTTTCGCTAAAGCAGTATTCTATTTTTCCTTGGTAAATTTGGATGATCCCGCTTTTTGTATTAAGCAAAGCGTGGGATTTCTCATATTCGATAAAAGAGGGAATAGTAAAATTAGGATTTTGTTTGGAATTTGTAAAGTGGTTTAAACGTATTGAAAAAATGATCGAAAGAGCAGAAACTATTAATAAAAAGTAGTCAGTGGTATCACTCGTAATCCTATTTATTCCCATCTAATTTTCACTATTTTATGAATTGTAGTCGTATAAATTACTCTATGCTCATTTTAAGTCGTGAACAAGTGGATGAAAGCCATTACCATAATTCATAGTATATTTTACAGGGTTATATCAATAATACATTGGTTATAGTTGGAAAACTGATTATTCGACATATTAAGAAAGTAACATTCACTTATTAGCTCTACTTCCCAGTTCACGCTTTATTCTATCAGCCGAACTCAGCTTTCCAGAACCAATTTATAGCAATCTGCCTATCATAACAATATATACAGTAGGCTTTAATCTAATTGAGATTCAGTTTAGTGAAGCTGCATATATAGTATAGTTTTAAAATATTAACTAATCTCTGGCTACTTGGGGAAGTAGTCGGTAAGCAATAATTACACAGGTTCCTTCATTTTATTCAGGATACTCGAAATTCGCGATGATGGCGTCTATTAATTAAGTAGTAAAAAGTGGTTTCGCCAATAATAAATCTTTCATCAACTACTGGCTACTTTGTGAACAATACCATACTCACTGAAGTTTGTAAATCATAAACTTATCTAGACACTCGGCCATATGACATCACTATATATTATTGTTGTCTTTAAACGACATGAGACTATGGTCAGGTAACCCATCGATTATAGATCTCCGAGTTCGTTTATATAAGCTTCAGTCGTAAATAACAAATGAGAACGAAGTAGTACATCATGATAAAACTTTTTAATTACATTTCAGGACGACGACTATATCGATAAAAACGATTCCTCGTCTGTTTCTACATTTTCTAATACGTGTAAGAATGCCAATGAACGCCCATCCAATGTATTGGACCTGGATATGTTGACTGAAAAGATTAAGCAGGTAAACACGTCTACTCACATATTTTAACACTAATTATATATATATATATATATATATATATATATATATATATATATATATATATATATATAGCCCCCAAATGCCATGGTACGGCCAAGAGTGGGGAGAGTCCGCTCTCCTTCTCGAAATGCTCTCACATGGCCACGCGTATATAGCCTCTGCCGGGAAAGTCCTACTCACTGCCTTCTCGTGGCAGGGGTGTTGTTTACAAAAATGAGAGGACGAAAAGCGAATGTCCGGCGCTTTAACCGGGTTCAAAACCAATGGTGCACATGGGCTCCGGTATCCTACGGGAACAAATGGCGTATGAACCAATTGTTGGTCACCGGCTTCCATGGGACTGCATCTCCTTACGATGCTCCACTGCCTTGTGGATCAGACCTTCAGGTCGAAGGCTCGGGGTGTGGCCCCCTAAGAAAACCATCTGCTTCGGTTTGGGCACCCGGGCAGTATCACAGCCCTCACACATATCGAGTAAGATTTGTGTGGCGCATATGTATTTGGTGCCTCTTTGTACCATTATCTATGTGTTGAAATAATATATATATATATATATATATATATATATATATATATATATATATATATATATATATATATAGGATTTTCTTTCTTATTTGTCCTTTGAATTTATGGACTATTAACTTCCATTAAATTATAGTTGTTGTAATAACTTCCGAATTCCACTCTATATCTTGAAGTTTTGTCCATATTCTTCATCTTCGTTATTTCCCACTACAAAACCAACGAAAGATCCTCTCAGATTTTGTGAATCCAAAAACTAATTTTCTTCTTATGTTATTGGATCCCGTGTGACCTGGTTGTTTAGCAATAGAAGCAGATGCTTGTCAGATCCGGAATTGTGTAACTTTGTTCAGTTCAAACCAGTGATCTTTGCTCAACGACACTGAGTAACGACCGAAATATCTTGATTATTGGTCTATGAGCTCTTTCCAACCTCGATGTTTAATTACAGATCAAAAACACCAAGTTTCTATGATTCTCTATTATCTACTGTTTATTATGAGTCGATTCATACGACAATATACAGTACCTGACTATACACCAACATAAATAAGGTAAGACGTATCTATTAACAGTTTATGCGTCAAACGAAAGCATACAATCAAAGGAAATATAAAACGAGGCACCACTTCAAGCATTTAATAGTCATACAATAATAATATGTCTAACAGTCCATGTTGGCGGGATATAGATTAGATTAAAACACTTTCGTGCGGGATTGTGTTGGGGCACGCTGATTGGCTATTTCTCAACCAATCAGCGCTAGTGGGGACTTGGAGAAGACTAGAATATTCTTAGATGAAAATGATAAATACACTAACGTTCTTCGTATTGTGATTCCTCCTTCCATTCATCGTTTTTATTAGGAACATAATTACGTTCCTGTTCAACCGTGTTCTGATTTGGGGACTTGTCGAGTGAAGTATTGTTCAAGAATACTAAGCAATAAGAATAGCTGGGTCGAAATGAGAGGAATTATAACAATGGAGACGAGGAAAAAAGAAAATACATTTAAGATGCGCAACATGGTGCACGAATGCGGATGTTGGAAACTATGACTCAATAGCTTAGCACCCACTGCTCGAGTTCACACTCCGTTTCAAGTACTTATTGTGATGCAGTTGCCAGCAGCATCCCAGAATTCATCTGTGACCACGAAAGAGAAAATACCTTCCTCATGTGGTTCAAGCGTTGGGAAGATACATTTAGAATAGAGTTTTGTAAGCAATACGACTCGATTGTTGATTAGTAATATGGGAAGTAATGAATATGTACGCTACGCAGACCATCTGTTGCCAAAGTTACCTCTAGAGCTCAGTTTCGAGGAGACGGTAACTAAATTGTAAGAGATATTCGGTGAATCATCTTCATTGTTTAGTCAGTAACAACGTAGAACTTCGTACGTACGTACATCAGTTTGAGTTGCCATACCACATTAGCACAGAGATGCAGTGGTCGATTCAAATCCCGTAGTGGTAGAGGTAATAAGAGTATAAGCAGTAATCGGGAAGATTAGGGTTTGGAGATGTTATTTAAAGAGTATAATCCAGTGAAATAAATTTGGAAAGAGAAAAAAGGGACATGAAGAATTCAGAAGATTAGAATTTGGGAGAACACAAAGAGTGGATGCACCTGCGCCATTGCAAACGATTTTGAGCCATGTCATTCAGGGTCTCTAACCATCGGTTGCTATCATCTCGCGGTCCCCAACCAGGTAGTCTACACCTACCAACATGACTCAGTTCACTTGTCAGTGACTTCATGGACTTGTGCCATGTTTTGGTTTGGCCGCCCCTAGCTTTCTTCCAACCTACTCCTATACCACTGAACATAGCACGTCGAGGCAGTCGGTCGTTGGGCATACGTAACACGTGTCCCAGCCATCTCAACTGATGAAGTTTCACTACTTCATCAATTGATTTGCCATCCTTACCTAGTACCCGTTTCCTAACAACTGATTACTTACTCGATGGTCCCATGATATACGAGCAATGTTTCGAAGACACCTATGATCAAATACTAGTAACCTACGGATATCCTCTACTCTTACCGGCCATGTTTCACTGCCATAAAGTAGGACGGAACGAACTGCTGCGCAGTAAACCGTCCTTTGGTTGATAGACGGATATCTCGCCTACGCCATAAATGACGCAAGTTGGCAAAAGCTAGTCGAGCCTTCTGTATCCGTGCTGAGATTTCGTCACACACCAACCACAAGGGCTGATGAGACTTCCAAGATAAGTGAAGCGGTCGACACACTCAACTACTTCACTCCCTATCACTAGTTCGGGTGTCGATGTAACCCAATCCTGAAGCAACATTTTGCATTTCGAGGGAGAGAATCGCATCCCGAACATGCTTGCATTGTTGCTTAGAGTGGTCAGAAGACTCTGCATTTTGTCAGCGTCTTCACCAAATAAAACTATGTCATCAGCATATTCTAAGTCAACAAGTGAACCTCCCGGTAGAAGTTCAACCCCTGGAAATTTAGATGAGGAGAGTGTTATCTCTAAAAGTACGTCGACGACAAAGTTGAACAAGAATGGGAGAGTGGACAGCCCTGACGAACACCACTTGAGGTAATCAATTCTGATGACAGTTCGCCATAAGCTCTCACTCGACCAGTTGTGTTCGAGTAGAGAGCCTTTATAAGGTTAATGTACTTCTTTGGTACTCCTTTCAGTGACAAACACTGCCATAGAACCTCACGATCAACAGAGTCGAATGCCGCCTTAAGGTCGAGAAATACTACCATTGTGGGGCGTCTGAATGTGTGTCTGTGTTCTAGAACCTGACGTAGTGTGAATATCTGATCTATACAACCACGTCCAGGTCGAAAACCAGCCTGGTTTTCTCTAGTCTGCTCTTCACGAGCTTTGTTAGGCGTCGAAGTATTATTGAAGCTAATATTTTAGACACTATATTAGTCAAACTGATTCCTCTGTGATTGTCACAAGAGGACTTTTGTCCTTTCTTATAGACTGGCACAATCAGTGATTGAGACCAGTCAGATGGGATTACGTCCAGTTCCCAAATTCTACCTAAGACCTCAGTTAATCTCATTGCTAATACTGGACCACCATCCTTAAAAATCTCAGGAGTAAACCTGTCAGGGCCTGCTGCTCTCCCTCGTTTCAGATTTCCTATGGCTTTTTCAACTTCGTAAAGGGACGGAGGACCTACATTAACTTGCCATTCAGGTTGACTGGAGATCGTGGGAAACCGAAGTGTGGCTGAAGGCCAGTTGAACTGATCCCTAAAGTGTTCTGCCCATCGATCCAATCTCCTGGATTGAGAATGAATAATATGTCCATCTTTCTCTGAGATTGTTTCGCTAACGGTCGGGTTCCTAATTCCGGTTTCCTTAACGAGTCTGAACAATTGTCTGCTATTACCTATTGCCGCTGCCTTTTCCATCTCTCTTGCTTTCGCTACCCACCACTGTTCGCGATCATTGCGTAGACTTCTTGTCAGCTTGCGCTTAAGCTGACTCCGCTCTTCATTATGTTCAGAGCCAGGTGGAATGAGTTTCCGAGCATCTATCAGTGCGATAGATGCTGCTGAGATCCAGTGTTGCTCCCTAACCTTCCGGTTTACCTTACTAGCAGATATCACTGCTGTTTCCACAGCTTTTCGGATATCATTCCATGCTGCATCGGGGTGGGCATCACATACATGGCTGCCTAACTGTTTTCCTAGTTGTTCCTGAAATATACTCTTAGCTTGACTATCATTAAGTAGGCCCTAAGAGGTTTCCTTGCAGCGTCTTTCCTACGTCCAGTAAGACGCAAGCAAATACGCGCTCGCACTAGAGCATGATCTGAATCTAGGCATGTGCTCCAGAATGAGCGACAGTCTTCTATCGAGCCCCTCCATCGGTGGCTGATAGCGATGTGATCTATTTGGGTCCAACGTTGGGACGAATTAGGGGGTCGCCATGTTAAAAGATGTTTTTCCTTATGCTTAAAGTTAGTATTTGCAAGGAACAGGCGGTTATCTGAGCATAGCTGCAACAGACGGTCGCCATTATCTGTTCTTTGAGCCACGACACCATAAGATCCACCTAGGTGTCTTTCCCTATCGCTTAGTTTACCTACTTGAGCATTAAAGTCACCGGCCACTATTACTACATCCGAGCGCCTAGCTTTTAGAAGAAGGTCCGAAAGCTTTCTGTAAAACTCATCTTTTACATCATCTGAGCTGCAGTCAGTGGGAGAATAGGCAGAGACGACGAAGAGGCAACGACGAGTGTCCCTATCTTTCCGGATTCTTACTGTTCCGTTCAGTCGGACAGCGCACAAACGACTGTCTACTGGGATCCACTCTAAGAGAGCTAGTTCTGCCCTAGGACTCAATGCTATACCTACGCCGGCGAGGCCACGGGAAGCAGAATCAGGGCTTCCAGATACACGAAGCGTGAATCGAGTCGGTTCTTTATTTTGGCATGGTGAGGTCAAATGAATGACGCTACTCGGATCCTGTATGCGCGTTTCGGAGACGCAGCACACATCGATGGCGCGAGATTCTAAAGTCCTAGCTAAGGAAGCCTGCTGTCCTATTTGGCACAGTGTTCGTACGTTAAAAGCTCCTACGTGTAGTTTAGAGCGTGGTTTCAGGAGACCAGGAATGGCGTTCCACGTACTCGAATCGTTTGCCCTAGCGGTGCGAGGTGATAAAGAGACGTGAGGAGGGTTAGTCATGGAGATAAGAGAGGTATTAGGAGGTGTAGGAAGGATTTGAATGTGAACAACTTGGTCTCGTGTGCTGTTACGGGTATGAGGGCTGATGTCACTTCCCGGCTGCCCACACCGTGGAAGGGTATTTCTTGAGGAACCTGAAAAGGAAATTGGATTAGTGTTGGTCTTGACGACCTGGGAGCGTGACCGCAGAGCCCAAGGGACAACTGCTTGAGGCCGGTCGCGCACGGCCTTTTCGTGGAAGGTTTTTAACGTGTTAGCTCCGTTCTTCAAAGGGCCTTACCGCCGGAGACGGAAATCCGTGAGGTAAGGTGAGGTGTGACATTTTTAGGGTCGACCTTTTCTAACCCCACCCCTCCTTGTGGGAAGGCAGCATCGCTGCAGATGCTGGTTGTCCGAGGGAAACACCTTACTGCTGTCACACCCCTCTACAGTCAGCAGTACGACTTCGCCCTCAGACCTTGAGTTGCTGCTTTTAGTCTTACCGTTCTCCAATCGACCTGCCTGGCATGGTAGAACCTACAGGAACATATGTTCCAGCCAATATAGCTCGGTTGGGTCATCACGATAGGCAAGCCTGACCACCGTGTCAAGGTAGCAGCTTCGGTCGGTCGATATCAGTGTTTAAATTTGGTGAAACGCGAAGGTGATGAATATAGTGCTCTGGAAGACGTCGTCAACGTTGAAGTCACGCTCATTGATGGAAGATCAATTTGAATGCCTAGTATTTAACAAAGCTCCTCAGTCACCACAAGGTGCTGAGATTAGGAATAGACTTTTAACTCGACTGGATCAAGATCCAAACATTACCAGTTCCTGAAGAATTGTTTGCTAAGCTTAATGGTGGAACATGTTTCGCGAAAATAGACTTCTCCGATGCTTATCTGCGAGTGGAAGTAGATGATAATTGTAGAGAACTTCTGACTATCAACACTCTTCACAGGTAAAAAGTAACATCCATACCAAGGTCTGAAATCAGTCTGGTTTTCTCAGGTTTGCATTTCCAGAGCTCTAGTTAGACGTCGATGTTATTGAAGTTGATAATCCTGACACTATGTATTTCGCCTATCTCCTGGATTGAGAGTGAATAATAGTCACGTCTTTTACCGAGACAGTTCCACTAGAAGCAGGATTTTTAACATCCGCCTCCTTGATAAGTTTCAACCATTGTTTACTGCTTATTATGGTTTCTGCTCTATCCATCTCTTTCGCTTTCTCTATTCATTACTGCTCACGATCATTGCATAGGCTTTTTATGAGCTTGCGTTTAAGCTGTTACCGCACCTCATCATGTTTGAAGCCAGATGGGATGAGTTTCCGAGCATCTATCAATTCGGTAGCCGCCGCTGAATTCCACTTTTTTTCTTGACTTTTTCGTCTAAGTTACTGGTAGATATCACTGCTGTTTCCGAAGGTTTTTGGATATCATGCTAAGGTATCTTGGTATGAATGTCACTTTGATGGTTGATCGACTCCTCTAGTTGTTCCAGAAAAATATTATTAACTTTTCAATCAACCCTATTAGGTTTTGTTGTCGTGGCTTTTCTGGGCCCAATAAGATGCAAATAAATACGTGCTTGAACTAGAGCATAATCTGAGTCTAAACATGTGCTCCAAAATGATCGACAGTCTACTATCGAACCTCCCCAACGATGTTTGATGGCAATGTTGTCTATTTGAGACCATCGTTGAATGTATTGTTTGGGTTGCCACGTCAAACGTTGTTTTTCCGTATGCTTAAAGTTGGCGCTTGCTAAAACTAGACAGGTATCCGGGCATATTACGTCAGATGGTCTCCATTTTCTGTTTGCTGAGCCGCAACACCGTTAAACTCACCCAAGTGCTTTATTGATTGGTTTATTCTATCTACTTGAGCATTCAAATCACTCACAATTATACGACATCAGTGTTTAGCTTTTTGAATGTTGGATGGCTTCCCATAAAATTCATTTTTAATTTCATCCCAGCTGCAATCAGTGGGAACGTGGATACCGAAGAGGCAACGGAATGTGTCTCTATCTTTTCGAATTTTTACTGTCCCGTTTAGTTGATCGGCACACAAGCGATTGTCTATTAGAATCCGGTCTAGGAGAACTTGTTCTTTAGAACTTAATTCTATACCTACAACAGCGAGCTCACTGGAAATACCAGTGGGGTCTCCAGATACTCGAGGAGTAAACCGTGCCGGTTCATTATATTGTTAAAGTGATGTCAAATGAATAACCGTACCTGTACTTTGTATGCGCGTTTCTGAGACACAGCGTACATCGATGGCTCGTGATTCTGGAGTCCTAGCCAAGTAAACCTTTTTTCTGAACGTTAAGACTCCGACATGTAGTTTAGAGCGTGGTTTTAAGAGACCAGCAATAACATTTAATGGACTGAAGTCATTAGCATTGGTGGCGCGTGGTGATAAAGAATACAGTTGTTACCTTGGACCCAGCTGGATGACTTGGATTTCATAGATGACCTTGCCCTTCTATCCTTTACACAGAAACAAGTGCAGACGAAAACAGCCAGTATGTCACCAACTTTTAAAGCGCTATCCCTCAGAAAGCAAGATTCTAAAATACAGCACAATGAGGACCAAATCGAATTTGATGAATAAACTTTGTAACTAGTGATAGTCTTTACTTTCATGGCCAGGATTGCCGATGAGTTAGGAGGATCTGATACAGATATGAAGGGAAGGATTGGAAAAGTAAGTGGAACATTCATGCGATCAAAGGATATATGTAACTCGAAACAACTGTCAGCCAATACTGGAGTCAGAAATTTTAATATACGTCAATACAGTACAATTTTACGGAGCAGAAACTTGTAGAGATGCTAAAACTATTATCAAAATGGTACAGGTATTTATAAACAATTGTCTACACAAGATAACCCAGATCCATTGGTCAGACACTATCGACAATAACCTACTATGGAAGAGAAAAAACCAGCTTCCAACTGAAGAAATTAGGAAAAGACGATGGAGATGAGTGGGACACATTGTAGATATCAAAATGCATCACGAAGCAAACCCTAAATTGTAGTCCTGGATGCGGGTTTCAGAGACGCCGCATACATCGATGGTGCGAGATTCTAGAGTCCTAACTAAACAAACTTTGTCCTGTCTGACAAGTTTTCACGTTTTTATCATATCTCGTCGTTAATTTGTTACGCCTGATCGTCGCTGATTATTATGGTTTTCTCTCTTCCAAAATTCCCGTCGCCAGTTTGTTATGTCGTAATCGATTATCACTTATACTTATAAAACGAGAAACCACTGCGATTGCCACGACGCGAAAGTAAGAACACCCAGATGGATACAACTAAAGATTTATTAACCCCAAAACACGACGACGACCCTAGTCGAAAATACACTCATTTTGATAAAAGCGCATATATGAAAAATACTTAGTTTTAACAAATCATATTCTACATGACATGCTTACCATAGTTCATGGTAATTTAATACAAGAATATCGTATGTTATACAAAATAAAATATCACACGGGAAAACAAACAAATACTACAGATTGAATTAAAATGGAAGTAATGTTGAACAAAAATCATGATGATTAAATCAATCTAATTTTAACTTTTCATCCCGTCATATCAGTTTTCTTAATTCTTGTTACTATTGTTTGATCAATCATTTGCATCATACATACTTCGGTAATTTTTTTGTCTCTCACCATTCTTTCGTTTTTACTGCTCATAAAAGTATCTCAGAAAGTTCTTTAATATATGGTGAGCACATTTCTAATTGACATAATGATAACCTACTTGGCCATCTTACTGTTTACTTGGAGTCATTAATTACGCTTCCTACGTGCGAGGTCGCGGATATGCACTGCTGAAGAGTCCCATACAAGGGTGAAACTGCCGTCCATAGCTTCCAGGTCTATCTTAGACCATTTCATGATCTCACTTGTGAAAATACTACAACCTTCACAAATAATTTGTACTTATATACTAGTCTGGTCGTATATGGAGTTGCTAGTAACCCAAAGGACTTGGTAATCACTTCTATGACCTCGGAACTGAATAATCTTGATCCATCAGTTATGGGGATAAAATTGTAGTGATAAGTTTCATTTTTAGATATCTTCGATTTTTCCACTTCTACTTCCCGTAGTTCTATTGTTCTGTCGTCAATAAATTCTTTATTATATATTACTGCATTTAGGGCTTGGGACATGAACTATCAGATACAGAGATTTTACAACTGATATCACGTGGAAGGCTTAAAACTCGTGAATTAGAATCAGTCGTTCGCAATCCATTTCGGGCTGTTGAACTCCGTCGTTTAGATTTGTCAACATTTCTTAATAACCCACATATTATTGAACGCATTCCATACAAAGACTATGATTATCGTCTTGTATATGGTCAATGTTGTGAAGAGGTAAGGAAAATCATTTTTATTAGTATATTTCTGTGAGTTAAAAGATTCCTTAATACGGTGGCTTAGTGGTTATAATCGCTTAAATTTTAATCACTGAGTTTCAGATTCAATCTCTTTTTGACCTACTTACGTCTAGGCAATTGAGTATTCTGATGTATGAAAAGTGTGGTTCGAAGATTTAGTGCACGAACCTGTACTTGATTACTTAGCTAAACTTCATATTTTAAAATAAGGACACCTGATATTTTAATCATGTACGTACAATTGAACAATAAGTTAACCATAAAGTCAGTTCTTGTAAAAGTTTTTCAGCTTATGTATCCGCTCAAATAAAACTCTGAATAACGTCGGCAGTTTATGTAACCCCTTGATTTCTTTTACTCAGGAACATCCGAATCATGTATAATGAAGAAGACAAATCCAAACTCAAGTTTCACTTAAAACTATAACTGTGTCCACAAATCAATGTTCAGTCTTATGATCATGTATGACCTCAAGTTTTTGGGATGATCTTGTAAGTTTTTGTGATCAATAGTAATTGACCCAATGAACAAAAGATTTAGATAAAGAATGTAGAATAACTTGTAGGAAGGTTCCTAATTCGTTGATAAGTGATAATTGATTGATTTTCGTTTTAATTTTATTTTGAAAATTTGTTAACATTTAGCATCCTGGAAAAATTATTCATATTTCATCTGAGTGTCTTTCAGATGAAGAATTGTTTAATAACTCTGAAATTGGCTGCAAAATGTATATATTTGACTTATATTTAATGTGTGGGATAAATAATAATGTTGTTGTATTATCTGCTTTTAATAAACTGATCTTTTTAATTAAAAATTCAAGGAATGGGACCTATCGCATTCAAATATCATTTATAAACTTTGATGTAAAACAGTGGCTATTTAATTCCAAAATTCTTGTTAGTATTGTTCTAAAATTTAACAAAATACATGAATATTTTTGAATCATCTATAAAGAACGGGGATAAACAGGAAAGGTGTGGATTTGCCTCACAGTTAATATTACTAGGTTACATTTAATGTGAAATTAGTTAGTTTCCAATACACCACAAAGTTTTGGTCTTTTCATGCGATTGAGGTCTCAACAAATGCTATTACTCACTTTTGGTTACTTCTATACACTATTCATAGTAATCTGTTAACAAGTTGGTGAGTTTCCAAAATTTTTCAAATATATTGTTGCACAAATTGATTTCACAAAATTCTGGTAAATTTTGTCTTCTAAAGTTATCCAAAGGGATGAACTGTTCAATCAAGAATGCATTTATGGAATACGGTGGTTCATTTATTCTCCATACATTTCATGCAAAATATTTTAGGCAGATTGTTAAAATAAATAAGTAAATTGAAGCATACTTTAAACAGATCATTATTTAAATAGTGTACAACAAAATGCAAGAAAAAACCAGTCATGATTTTAGTATTTAGCTTGCGATTCGCTTGTGAAGTTTAATAAATCAAGTTCGTGTTGAGAAAACCAACAGCATGTATATAATAACGGTGAAAGAAACAAATACTGGTTGCTGTTTACGGGGGAAAAGATAGAACAAATAATCTATCAAATATCTTCACTACTACAATAGGCTCACAACATACCGTTCAGTGATTTAAAAGTATTTGTCATACTCATACGTGTGTTTTACAACCAATGCATTGGTTTTGTTTAATCATGTGTGATCCTATGTCAACTGTTAATCCTTAAAATAAAATAATACTTTTCAAGTTATTTATGTTGCTTCACATTTTAATATGGCAGATTTCTTATCGTTTCAGTTTTCTAACTCCTAAATCTAAAAATTCCTCAAGATCACTTATTTTTTTTAAAGTAGCTTTCTCAAGTATATCGTAATTATGTATCAACTTTGATGTATGTAACACCATTGTACACTACATATGTATATATGAAGGAAATCACGAGGTATAAAACTCACTAACGATTTCGAGTGTAATCAGTGTGTTGTCACATTCTCCACATTGATTAGTCGTTCATGTTTAAAAGTATGACTAAAGTTATTGAGTTGTAAAACGTTTACATAAACTTGCTCTTTGGAATACTCGAAATCATATTTTCATCGTAAGAGATCCACACTCTTTTCTTTGTAATTGCAAACGCCCTAATAAATTATGATGTACTTTTGGAAACCAGAATAAGCACTAATATTGGGTTTAACATTTTCTATTGTATTTTTACACTTAGAAGTATGTTATGATAGAATAGATACTCACCTTTCAAACTACGGGTTATCAGTCCTATCGACTATGTTCATTGTGATATCGACAACTTTTTATCTCCACCAATATAAGTGATTTTCTACCTAATTCGAAAATCTTAAATTTATATATTTTGGTCTGCTAAAATCCAGGTTATCGGGTACATGCCTATACCAGTTGGAAAAATTGGACCTCTTCTACTGGATGGTCGTTCTCATTACATTCCTTTGGCTACTACTGAAGGATGCTTGGTAGCCAGCACAAATCGGGGATGTCGTGCAATTTTTTTGGCTGGTGGTATCAAAAGTGTCGTCTATAGGTAAACTTGAAATTGTTCACTTTTGATCTATGTTTGGGTATTCAGTTCATAATATGTAAACCTTGTTTGTTTTTAACTATTTGAATACTTTCATCGGGATCCCTCCCACCTTAGCGTTATACTTGGGATTACTCGTGATGAAGGAGGATTGATTCACAACTTAAGAGAAATTCTTCCAATCCCTGAGACTGGGATCTGTGCCTTTTATCAATGAAAGATTTTACTTCGGCTACTCGTTTACTCTCTAAAGTGATATGTACTCTTGTATACGACCACTCATTTTCAATTAGTTTGAATCGTATTTAATTGAGGGAATTATTCGAAGCGTATCAATGGGTAGTACATTTAACCTTAAATCTAACCAGTTTATTGAATCGGTCGTCAGTAGAATTTAGGATGCACGTTCTTCTCTGTTTAGAACTCATGAGATGGATGAACCTGCATCTCAGTGTTGGTGTTCATAATAGGACTCGGACCCCAACGTTACTGAGTCAAAATAATTACTAACTTGTTCAACATGTGTATTATGTTTACATTATTATCAAAAATTTCTAACAAAATCATTATATTAAAGCAATTTGCACAAGATACACATACGCTCTACCAAATACTAATCAAAACAATGTCCTCAATACCAACAAAGGGATAATTTAAACCCTGATTCATAGCGATAACAACCCATTTAGTTATACCTCTGCGTGACCTCTCATATTGGATCTCTTTTATATAAATCAAACACATACTTCATATATTATAGTCATATTATTTTAGATTCTATTTAATACTATATTTTAGTAATGATGAATTCAGCAAAATTTAATTTAATTTGCGTTTCATGTTTAAGAAGGAGAGTGTTAGGATCATCACAAATTCTCGTTAATTACCATCTACTGTTAGTCATCAACAACCAGTTACTCTTACCACGATTATGTATCCTCATATGATGGTAGTCAGCAGTGAAAATTATTTTTGAAGTTCATCCATTTGACTTCAAACATTTTACAAACAATGTAGTATTATCGTCATTTACATACATCTATTCAGTGTAAATTATTTTTAAAGAGCTTTTAGATGGTAACTTTAAAATGAAAAACTGGATAACTCTACTAATGAAGCGTAATGTGGAAATCTCAACTCAGAGATGTGTAAAATTAACTTTAATTATTTCGAAATACTACAGTGAAACTATTTTGATACTTGATAATTGTATAATATATGCTACTTATGTCTGTTGACATAAGTAGCATACATCACCATTCAGAAGTGAAATGCCTGGCATGAGAAGGTTGAGAAGATCGAATTGAAGAGAACAGGAATGTAAACAGAGAGTAGTTGTAATAAAAACCGGAATGGAGGAATGACGAAGTTTGTAAGAGACAATTTATGGAAGATGTGCAAATGAAGTAATTGATGTATGGTTTTCGTACTTTATGAAGACATGTGAGGTTATATATTTATGCACGTATCATATCTATCAAATATAAATAGATGTTTCAGTAATTGTCCGTTTTTATATGTAGTATGACGACAAATATGAAGTAATTGAAGGGTTTAATCGATTTGCTTACCAAATAAGATAATCACTAAAGGAATTTTAGTGTACAAACAGGCGATTTGGATTCTGAATTGCACGTCAAATGTGTGTACAACACGATTAAACGCCTACTGTGTTTTTTTTAGAAATCCTATACATTTACTTGTTATATTGATTTAGAGGGAAGCTAAATGCAAATAACCATTGAGTTCTAAACACTATACTGATTTATACAATTCTGTTTACTATTTATTATTATTTGAACACATAAATATTGGTACAAAGAAGCACCGAATACATATGCGCCACACAAGTCACTTGATTCGTGTGTAGGCTGTGGTACTGCCCGGGTGCTCAGACCGAACCAGGGAGTTTTCTTATGGGGTCAACGGAAGGAGATGCAGTCCCATGGTAACCGGTGACCAACAATAGGTTCATACGCCATTTGTTCCCTGGAGCCCATGTGCGCAATTGTTTGGGAATCAGGGTTTTCCAACACCCTTAGGTGGAACCTCCGTGCTCATCAACCCGGTTAAAGTGCCAGACAATCGCTTTTCTTTCTCTCAATTTTGTAAACGACAACCCTGCCACAAAAAGGCAGTGAGTAGGACTTCCCAATCAGTGGCTGTATACGCATAGTTTTATAAGAGCGTTTGGAGAGGGAGAGCTAACTCTCCCCAACCTTGGCCGTATCAGGGCATTTGGGGGCTTTAGGCTATCCATGTATAGTAAAGGTTGATAAGTGTCTGCCGTTTGATAGAAACAAATGCAGTGATTTTGAATATATAACCGAATGGTCGATAATGAAGTTATCAAACAACTAAGTCATTACCTCACACCTACTTTTTACAGTCTTTGAATATTAGTACAAACGGCTTAATTATTATCTAAATTTCTGTGATCTATGGGGTAAACTCTTTTGAAGTAATTCTACTTATTTTCTTTCCTACTCTATGTGACAAACTGGTTTCTTCATTTTAATCATATGTGACTCAGTCTCATCTACACAAATGAAAAGATTGATACCATAAGTAGTGAATGACAAACGTAAGTAAATTAGTTGAAAGTGTCTTTACAATTTGGTTGGGTCTAGAATGAGAATAGATGGACAATGCTCCTAATACTACGATGCTAGTTCTAAATTGAATAGATAGACTGACGACCTATATATAACAAAGTATCAGCAAGCATAACTACACTCAAATAAGAGGAAAGGGTAAAGTTGCAAAAGAGCTTTTACGCTTCTAGAAAAGATAGTGAAGTCAGCAAACATTACAGTGTATCCAATAATTCATAACACAAAATAACCAATAGAAATAGGCGTGAATCACGTGACGTTACCACATTACACATTGTGAACAACTCCAAGAGAGACTAAGATTGCCCTGATTTGGGTCAACTCCAGCAAAAAGGGATTTAATAAGGTTTATAGAAAGCTAACAGTTTGGTACATCTCGATTCTAACTATAGTATTGAATCGTCATTTTCATTTGTCTCGCAAACACCAACCGTAAAATCTGTGTTACGTCTCAAATCAACAGCTTGTTGTACTGAACATATAGTATTGAACAAAGCCATAAATAATAATAACAATGACCTACCTGTCCGTAACTATTTTTCAAACTATTTCCAATCTAACCAACATCAAACTTTGCGTTAGATGGTATGGTATGCACTTCTTACACAGACAGTATAAGTAGTGTGTACTAGGAATAGAAAGTGGAATGTTTACTAGCAAAAGATTGAAATGAAGAGAACAGAAAGAAAAATGAACAGTAATCGTAGTAACGATACAATTAGAACAATGATGGATTATGTAAAAGACAACTGAAGGAATATGTGCAAATTATCTATTCAATGTATTATTTTCATATTTTACGAAGGCACTTTGTAATTTTGCATATGACAATAAATTGGTCTACCGTACCCGAGTCTCTGTTCACTATAGTAGCAGCTAGATACGTGCATTGGCTGTTTTAACCACCCAGTAAATGGATATTCATGATATTACCAACTGGTACTTGTTATCTCTACTACTTCATACTCATCTTTTTCTTCCTCCTTTTCTTTCTTGTTGTAATACTTTTAATTAGCGTAGCAACCTATGCCAAAATTTCAGTCCAATATCCGGGATTCTTTTTTCTGATTGAATATTGTTAAAAAGAATTCACTAAATATGTTTGAACACATTTAACAAGCTATTCTAGAGTGAATACTCGATAAACCAAGTTCTAATCAGATCATTTGTAACTGTTCTATTTTCAAAGTACTAATGAGATACATAGGCATTTTTTGAAATAATTATTTATAAATTGACGGGCGCATCTTACTTGTGTCATAATGGGACGAGTACTGAAAAGGTTGAAACTTCTGGTACTAGTTTACAGATTATTATTTATGCTTTAACTGTATGATTAGTAAATAACCGCATCGTTGCATTTCAATATTTCCGTCATTGAAAACTTCCAATCGACCTGTGTCTATATGTTTTACTGTTCCTTAATTATTGCCAAATAATTATGTATTATTCGATTCATTCTCTTCCACTTGTGGCATGACTATGTTATGATTTCTTTTTTTGGCTATCCTGGTTGGTTGGGCCAGGTGATTAAAGTATACATATAGTAGTAGCTGACGGCTGATTTCGGACAGGAAATTGAGAAAAATTTACGGATAGCGAACCGACAGGAGTGTAGCTTAAACTGCATCAGGATTAACTGTGTACGTCAGAGCGTATAATTCATCAAGTCTATGACGCTATTCTATAGGCAGAGTAATAGATGTGAGATGGAAAATTTATGAATGGAATTCTGATAGGTGAGTCTAGCATGTGATATCGATTCGCATCTCAAGTAATAAAAATTTCGTCGTAATTAAGTACTGCGATGTTATTATTGTTGATACTCGTAGTAGATTAAGTTTCCTGTCTTGTTTTTCAAAATCTACAGATAATTCGCACATATATAATATGTATTTCTTGCAGAATGATTCTATACTCTATTTAATTACTACTTTTTTGTTTATACACAACTAACCCTTGATCTTTTTATATATTCAGAGATCAAATGACAAGAGCACCTGTTGTTTGGTTTCCATCAATTATTGATTCAGTGAAATGTATTGCATGGATTGATTCAGATGAAGGATTCCAAATTTAAAGTCAGCTTTCGATAAAACTAGCGCACATGTAAACTTATTATCAGTTTTTGCTTGTCCGGTAAGTAGCTTACTATTAAATTCTAATTGTATTTTACAACTAATTCATGATTTAGATAGTTAAGTAAATTTTGTTGTTTTATAATTGTTCGGAACACTCCATTCGATTTAGACAGTATATAAAAAAATACTGACATTAGTTGATTTGTTCAACAAATCGTCTACTCATTAATGTCCTTAAATATGGTTTACATTCGTCATTTCAGCTATTGGTTTGACTTTGTCATAAATGTTGCTTTTAATATTAATGGAATTGATGCACTTCTTACTTACTTACTTACTTACGCCTGTTACTCCCAATGGAGCATAGGCCGCTGACCAGCATTCTCCAACCCACTCTGTCCTGGGCCTTCTTTTCCAGCTCCATCCAATTCTTGTTCATTTCTCTCATGTCTATTTCCATTTCTCGGCGTAATGTGTTCTTTGGTCTTCCTCTTTTCCTTTGGCCTTCAGGATTCCGTGTGAGGGCTTGTCTTGTGACGCAGTTGGGTGCTTTCCTCAGTCTGTGTCCTATCCACTTCCAGCGCTTCTTCCTGATTTCTTCCTCCGCTGGGATCTGGTTTGTTCTCTCCCACAGTACGTTGTTGCTAATAGTGTCCGGCCAACGGATCCGAAGTATTTTGCGTAGACAACTGTTAATAAACACCTGTATTTTCTGGATGATGGCTTTCGTAGTTCTCCAGGTTTCTGCCACATACAGTAGAACTGTCTTGACATTTGTATTGAAAATCCTGACCTTGGTGTTGGTTAACAGTTGCTTTGAGTTCCAGATGTTCCTCAGTTGTAAATATGCTGCTCTTACTTTGCCGATCCGCGCCTTCACATCTGCATCAGATCCACCCTGTTCCTCAATGATGCTGCTCAGATATGTAAAGGTTTTTACATCTTCCAAATCTTCTCCGTCAATTGTGATTGGGTTGGTGCATGCTGTGTTGTATCGGAGAATCCTGCTTTTCCCTTTGTGTATATTGAGACCTACTGCTGCTGAGGCTGCTGCCACACTGGTCGTCTTCTCCTGCATCTGTTGTTGCGTTTGGGATAGAAGGGCCAGATCATCTGCGAAGTCTAGATCGTCCAACTGCATCTTAGATGTCCATTGTATCCCGCGTTTCCCTTCAGATGTTGAAGTCTTCATGATCCAGTCGATCACCAGGAGAAAGAGGAAGGGTGAGAGTAAGCAACCTTGCCTGACACCGGTCTTCACTTCGAATGACTTTGTCAACTGTCCTCCATGCACAATTTTGCAGTTTAATCCATCATAGGAATTCCGTATGATATTGACTATCTTCTGAGGCACGCCGTAGTGTCGAAGAAGTTTCAATAGTGTTGTTCTGTCCACGCTATCAAATGCCTTTTCGTAGTCAATGAAGTTGATGTAGAGTGATGAATTCCATTCAATTGATTGTTCCACAATGATCCGTAGAGTTGCGATTTGGTCTGTACACGATCTGTCGTCACGGAATCCTGCCTGTTGGTCACGAAGTTGGGCGTGATGCACTTCAGTTAGATCTGATATTTAAAACAGTTACTCCGTTTGATAAATTTGGATAACGCGATGAGAAGTCAAAGGTTGTCAGGATTATATGATATATTTGCGTAATATATTTCAAACAATCTGATCACACATATACGTGTTAAAACATTATATATGGAAAATTAAAGGTCAACTTGACAAGTTAAAAGATAAGAGGAAAAAAGATAATAAAGTACTGAATGTGAAAACCACTCTGGATTGTAAATCAGTATTATCACGGTGGGTTAAGGGTATGAAAATTTTTTTCAATGCATAAAGGGGGGTTTCAGTTTTCGTATAGCCAAGGATTCAATAAGCCTTAGTCTACGCTATTGAACACTTTCGCATAAATCTACAAAGGCTGACTTGATGTCAATCCTATGACCGGTATCAACCAAATGTCCCGCGATGAAAGAAGATATTTGTGTATTTTGTGGTCTCGTTTGGCCATTAAAATTCATTTGTTTTTTTTTTCAAACGTGTAGGTATATGTTCAGTCACCCTTACTTGATGATCATGATTGCTCCTCCGTATGTATGCTTTTCCACGCATGCACTTAAACTGATGGATTCACTAAGATGGAACACAATCCCTTAAATGCTCTTTGAGTTTTGGGTGAAGCGTAGACCTTGATTCTTCGATAGTCATGAATTAGGTTGCGTAAAATTTCTTACTGATAGCTAATTTAGTTATTAGTTTCATTGTAAAATTATTTAAGTTACCTCTGAATGGTAGGGTAATATAGACTTTTTTGGTGCCGAAAATGTTGGGTGTCTCATCACTTTGTTACCTTTTTAACGCTTCGTTAACTTTAATGAATAACCTTCACTCGTCAATGTTTCTGTTAAGAGCTTTACTTCTCCCTCAACACTATCGCTAGTACGAATACACCTGATCCTATTGAATAAGTTCTTTATTAATCCACATTTGTACCGGATTAGACAGTGACTGTGAAAGCTAAGATATCTTCCTGTTCATTTTGACTCTCTATATACAAAACATTTGATAAAACCATCATCTCTTCTACTGATTATTACGTCTTCTCATCACATTATTTAAATTTCTTGATATACTGAATAATCCCCTGTATGACATTGCGGTTGCAATTTTTGAAGGGCTCCAAAAATCGAACAAACTCTTCATTCATCCTGAGGTTTTAGCTGTCGTTCAGTTGATGTCAATCCATGATGAAAACTCTAAACCTATGCATTTTACTGATGTATTAGCGCTTACATTTTTGTATGTCTCATTTGTGTTGCTATATGTTTAAACATAAGTTGATCGGTTCCACACTAGTTATATAGTGTTTGTGCGACCGATGAGACTAAATCATTACGTATCGATGGTGAGAAATAATGACTTCCTAATGATAGTTCAGACAACATACCACGCAAAAGTATTTGGTGTTCCATCTGATGAAAGCTAGATTTTAGTTTACTAAACATTTCTGGTTCATAAGCTTAAAAATAAACCAACCATCTGTTACAACTATGACTTATCAGTTTAAACTAATCCTTTTTTTTATTTGAAGAAAGTACAACACTTCATTTTGGGTTGTATTCATTTTCATATTCGGTCCACTCGTCATGTGATTTCAACAGACATTCTAAAATATCCAAGGAGCTCAAATTTCAACATAATTACACAGAAAAATTTATAGTTAAGTGTGAAACTTCATTGTAGTACCGGAGTTTAAGATTATTGCTGCAAGCAACTAAGTTTCTTTAGCAAAACAGGTACCTATCTATAGAACCGTATTTACATATTTGGGCTTTATTTAATTACTATCGTGTATTGAATAAAAGTCTCCATGTCAGTATTTATAGTTCTTTCCCTTTTGTACAGGCTGGTCGATATATTCATATTCGATTTGCTGCACGTACAGGTGATGCTATGGGTATGAATATGGTTAGCAAAGCCACTGACAGTGCTTTGCATTGTCTACAAAAATATTTCAGTAATATGCAAGTAAGTGGGTTTATTATTTTGGTGTTCTATGTCATATACGTATTGATGTTTGATTCTATTATATTGCCGCACGAAATTCTATAATTTACTTTCTCAACGATAGTTTTATTTTCTCTAGATCTTAATCTCATATTTGTGTTAGAATATAGTATATATGTATTAAAAGACAGTTAACACAGCAACTAAAAAAAATAAAATATTGCATATCTTTGTGATGAATACTTTCTATTACCAGTTATGGATCTATAAATTAGTTCTCTGTCATCTCTTCTAAAACTTGCATAATAGCTTACGTGGTCATAATGCAACTTCTAAGTGTAAGGAATTGTAATTGATGAAGAATGAATTTGCCCATTCATGATTACTTTTGTTTCTATAAAATGAAACCTTGATACACTGATACAATCTCGTAAACCTGTATATCATTTGATGGGATTACTAGATTTTCAAATAAGTACGATAATGAGTCAACGATCGTTTTTTTCGCGAGATTATCTCTATAATTTGATTGTACAGTTTGTGTCATAATAGTTTCGAGTATGATATCTTGAATTATTAATTGTTCTGTGATTACTTTGTACGCTATTTAATTCATCCATGTTGTTCTTTAATTGATGTGTGAATCAATGTAGGTTATCTCTTTAAGTGGAAATATGTGTACAGATAAAAAGCCAGCTACCATAAATACAATTCTTGGTCGTGGTAAATCTGTTATTGCTGAAGCTCATCTATCAGCTGATGTACTGGCTCAAGTGTTACATACCAACGCACAACGATTAGCTCGGTTAACTCATTCCAAAAATTGGATTGGATCTGCAATGGCCGGTTGTCCTGGTATGATGGGATGTAATGCACATGCAGCAAATATTATTGCTGGAATGTTTGCGGCTACGGGACAAGATTTAGCTCAGGTATGTTCAGTGTAATTGATTATTATCTATCTATTCATATTTATACAATATATCCACTTTTGGGAAATACGAAGAATGTTTAAAGTCAAACACTCGCTGAGTATCTTAAGAAGTAATCTAAATATTATAACACATAGGCATTGATTATTCCCTTTAGGATATCAAATAAATAGTACGAAATCTTATACAGCATACCTATTTAGATTTATCTTGTGAAATTCAGTGCAAAAACGCAACGATTCATAACCTCTTGGTCTAATCACTTAGATCAAAAGTGAATAATGATCCTGTCTTTTATCTAAGACAGTTTCCTTAACAGCTGCCATTTTTAATAGCTATTTCCTTGAGATTTCAGAATAGTTGTTTACTGTTACATATCGCTACTATCTTTGCTATCTGTTTAGCTCTCGTAGCTCGCCATTGTTCAGGATGATTGGATAAACGTTTTGTTAGTCTAAGTTTTAGTTGTCATCTCTTCATTGCTTTTCAAGTCTGTGGAGATGAGTTTTTGAGGGTCTATTAATGCAGTAGATGCCACTAGAGTTCACTAGTCTTTCTTAGCCTTTTGATTTAGGTTGTTGGTGGATGTTACTACTGTATTTGTAGCCGTTTAAATAGTAGTAGGTAGTAACGGTACCAATGGTAATAGAAGAGATTAGGCATCGAAGATGCAATCCATGAAGAAAATATAAATTAGTGAATTAAAAAGTGAAAAATGTTGTGAGGAATCCAGAAGTTCAGGATTTGTGGGAAGAATGAGAATGGATACAGCTACACCATTGCGAACGATTTTGAGCCATATCATTCAATTCTCTTACCACTGTCTAGGATAATCACGTGGACCCTAAACGAGCAGTCTACACCAGTTAACGTAGCTCAGCCCAGTTGTCAATGACTTCATAGACTGATACCATGTTTTTGTTCGGCCGCCCCTGAGTTTGTTTTAACTAACTACTACACCACACAACATCGCTTGTCAGGGTAGGCGGTGATTCAGTACATGTGACACTTGACTTAGCCTACCAGTTTAGGTGTTGAAACCAACTGCAACATCTGAGCGTCTTGGCTTTGGTCGACGTCATAAATTTTCCTACAGAGCTCATCTTTTACTCCATACGGGCTGAAACAACAAAGAAGAAACAGCATTTCCCTATTTTTCAGATTCTTTGCTTTACCTTTTTAGACAGACAGCATATAATCGACTACTGACAAGTATCCAGTCAGAAATTGCCTGTTTTTCTTTCAGACTTAGTACATACCTATACCGGCAAGACCACAATAAGTTGGTGTCACTGCTCCAAATATGCGATAGCTATTTTGTGTCGACTCGAAATAATGGCTAGGTGAGATCAAGTGAATGAAGATTTCAACATCCTGTATACTTACTTCGGCGACACTGTATACACTGATGACATGAGACAGTATAATACACCGGATTTTCAGCGTACGTCAAGTTTGTAGTTGTGATTTCAGGAGTTAAAACGTTGGTAGGGTAATCTGTGTGTCTAAGTCTACTTGAAAATTTGTTGAGATATAGGTTGTATCATGTTCTTTAGTCGGGCTTATCATCTGTAATAACCCATCTGACTCTTATTTTAATGTATTCCTGGGTAATCACATATGTTATTCTTGGACTAGACCCGTTAAATAGTGAACTCAAAAAACGGGATGTAAGAAGCTTGATACGAAATATGTTGGGAACGTTATGTGTCATCAATAGGGTTTCGTGAGATCCAACCATGAGGGTGTATTTAGAATAAGAGTAATCGAGTATTCGAAGGATAACTGCATTAATAAATGATGCTCATAATCATACTGGAACTAGTGTCAAGTAGGTAGTAAGTGTATGTTGTAGTAAACATTATGTACCTAAGTGTTTTAAGGTTATATGTGTGTTAGTTAACACATAAACAATTAAAAGGCATGTATGGAACAATGCTGGGATTCGAGATCTAGGAGAAGATAAATCGTGAATTCATCTGAGATATTGTAATCGATTCTGAGCTGTCACTCATTCTCCAATCACTGGTCTCTGTTATTGCATAGACACGCAACCAGGTAATCTGAATCATCTAGTGTTTCAGACGCTCAGCCAATGATTTCGTTACACACCAACCCACTAGAGCTGGTGCGACTTCCGAGATAAGTAAAGCGGTCGACGCGTTGAACTACTTGACTCCATATTATTGGTTCACGTGTTGACACACATCAGTCCTGAAGTGAAATTCAGCATGGAATCAATTTGAGACTGATATTGTGTATACCACTCTTTCTCTGATTTACTTACTTTTTGGTTCATATAATTTGATCTACTGAAAATTGAATATTAATGAGTCAATATATTGCTATGTGGTCACATTTGCAGTACAATTCTTATCGATTTTCGTACTGATTTAATTTTCCTTCATTAACCTCGTCATATCACTTTCAACTTCTGAATATACGTTCGACTTCTCGAATTCATGTAAAGGCATCACTACTAATAATACATATTATCGGCTTCTGATAAGCAAAGTTGGCTATATAGCAATAACATCATTAGCGCGAATGAGAGGTGTATGAAACCTATTGTAACCAACTGACGATGGTTGTATCTTTTAGAAATGACCCATACAGTCATCGTTCTGAAATGTGTGGAAGTTGGAAAGTTAGTTGCAGCTATAGGTGATTTGAACGCACACAGTTTGTGGCCTTTAATTTATTTTGATTTTTGGCTAGCTGCCAGTTCTTGCTCATCTGAAAAGTTCCATTGATGTTGAAAAAAGATACGGTTGGATTATGAGGATCCACGGATGTGTTTGTCTTTATACAATCGATGATTATATATATATATATATATATATATATATATATATATATATATATATATATATATATATATATATATATATATATATCCTGTACCACAACATTTACCTTAGCAATGTAGATAAAAATAGAATACAATGCGAAATTCACGTAACTATGTGAAACTCAATGAGGTAAGCCAGGCTTACGGTTTTATTGTTGTGCATTGAGAATAAATAAGGCCTAGTTATTCATTAATATCGTTACTAAATTTGATTATTCATTCAGTTATTCTTTTCACTGCATGAAGTAGGAGAATTTTCGGTTGGTTGATAATGCATTATGAACCCGCGTTTGTAGGCTTCATCAAGTTTGTAGCAATTTTAATTTCATAGTTGTGTTCTCTAGAATTTAGACGTTGACAGGAAGATCTACATTAGTCTGTTTTCCGATTTTTTAGAGAATGCATGGTGTTCTCTAGTCGGACTTACCACTTTTATTAGCCCATCTGACCCATTTATGCAAAACGTACTCATATCAAGGTTTATTCTCGATGAGACATATTTCTTCACATTCATTTACGTTTAAGTTTGCTTAACAAATTTAATTTGCAGTATGAATGAGTCATTTAACTTTTATGATTGTCTATATGAAACTCAGGTCAGTAAATGAAATTCTACAAAAACCGACCCCCCCCCACAAATGTATTTGTCAAACATCTATTTATCAAAGTGATTGGACATTATTTATTATTTTATTTTAACACATAAATATTGGTACTAGAATGCGCCACACGAAACAATGAGCATTTAAACAGAAGGAAAAAAAGAGAATAATAACGAAGAGATTGATGTAAGGTGGTGTAATAATAATAGTAAAAATGAGGGAACAGAAAGGTACAATCAGAAGAAATCTTTCAGTTAAGAAGATACAACCACTTTTTATGAAGAAAGTAAAAGAAGGTTACAGCAGGATCGCCACTGGCTTCTATTCTGAGCCATATCTGATAACGTCTCTAGCCACTGTGTAGCACCATCTCTCGGACCCCAACCAGGGAGTCGTGAAGGACCAACAGAAGCCAGTCCTTTGCAGCTTTCTTTCATGCCACGACACCATGTCATGCACTGACCACCTCTCCGCTTCTTCCAACCAGTCCCAGAGTCGGCAAATAATGCACGACGTGGAATTCTCTGGGACGACATTCGGAGAACATGTCCAAGCCACCGAAGTCGGTGTTTCAAGATGGTGACACCATTATCATCTCTGTGCCCGAACACACGATGCCGAACCTCTGCATTACTGACATGGTGTTGCCACTGAATGTCAGCAATCCTTCGGAGACAGCGATGATCGAACACAGAGAGTCGTCTAACGTCCTCAACTCGGAGAGGCCAGGTTTCACAAGCATAGAGCAAAACTGCTCTCACCGACGCGTTGTAGATCCGACCTTTTACAGCCAGACTAACATCACGAAGGCGCCAAAGGTGGCCCAGATTGGCATAAGCCGCTCTGGCTTTCACTATTCGTGCATTGATCTCATCACTCACACCCCCACCAGCACTTATGCAGCTACCCAGATACACGAACTTCTCGACTACGTCTATCTGCTCACCATCCAGGGTGAGTACAGGATTAGAATCCTGCCAGTCTTGTAGAAGTACTTTGCACTTCGAAGGTGCAAAGCACATACCATACCTACGGACACTGATTGCCAACTGATTAAGTGCGGATTGCATGCCTTGGGCATTATCGCACAGTAAGACAATATCGTCCGCATACTCAAGGTCGAGAAGTCTTTCTCCAGGCAACAGATCCACACCACCATTACTTACATTCATCAGAGCTGTTTCCAGAATGTCATCGATGGCAAAGTTGAAGAGGAATGGTGAGATTGGGCAACCCTGCCTAACCCCACTGCTCGAATGGAACAATGGAGAGAGGTGGTTGTATGCCCTCACTCTGCCTGAGATGTTAATGAACTTCTCAGGCACACCCTTCTTCAATAGACAATCCCAGAGAACAGTCCTATCCAACGAATCGAAGGCAGCCCTGATGTCAAGAAACACTACGATTGTTGGCCTTTGAAAAGTATGGCGGTGTTCTAACATTTGGCGGAGGGTGAAGATATGATCAATACATCCTCGACCAGAACGAAACCCAGCCTGCTCCTCGCGAGTCAATCTTTCTCGGGTTTTGAACAACCTACGAAGTATGACGGAAGCCAATAGCTTGGACGCAATCGGAAGTAGACTTATCCCCCGATAGTTGTTACAGGAACGACGTGAACCCTTTTTAAAGATAGGGACAACTATCGACTCATTCCATGACGTTGGTACACTCTCTAGTTCCCAAACCTTTGTAAACAACGTCGTCAATTCCTTAGTCAAAAAGTCACCACCATCTTTAAAAAGAGCCGGAGGTAAGTCATCTGGGCCAGGTGATTTGTAACGCTTCAAGAGTTGGAGTTCCTTGCGGACTTCCTCCTCATTTGGTGGATCAGTCGTCACCGGCCATGGAGGGCAGGACAGTCTGACCGATGTTGCCGGAGCAGCAGGCCAGTTGAACTGCCCTTCGAAAAATTCTGCCCATCGTCCAAGACGTCGATGGATGTTAGTGATTGGCATCCCATCATCCTCGCAGATTGTTTCACTCACACCAGACTTCTTGCTGCCAGTGGCTCGGATGAGTTGGAAGAGCTTCCAGATGCAGCTGCTGCTTCCAGCTCATTAGCACGCATCGACCACCAGGCTTCTCGGTCCTTACGCAAGCTTTGCCCAATTTCCTTACGTAACATCCTTCGTTTATGGTCAAACTCACGGTCACCCGGAGTAGACCGACGGGCTTCAATGAGTTGTAAGGAACCAGAAGAAACCCAGTGCTTAAAAGCGGGACGTTTCGCAAACCCACAACTGACTGTTCCCGCCATTTTCATGGCGTCATGCAATTGCAACCAATGCTCATCTATACTTTTCGGTGGAGTGGTAGCTAGCCTAGAGGCTAGCTCGGTTCGATACTTACTTGCAACAGAAGTTGCAACCAGCTTGCTAACATCAATCCGTTGGTGGTGGTCACTTCGTTGTCCACTGAAAAGTAAGGCAAGATTGGCGCAGACCAAGGCATGGTCAGAGTCCAGATAGGTACTCCAAAAGGAGCGGCAGTCTTGTACACAACCACGCCAGCGGTAGCTGATCGCGATGTGATCAATCTGAGTCCAGGCTTGAGATGCAGAGGGAGGACGCCAGGTGGCACATCGGCGATGACTGTGCCGAAAGTTAGTGCTAGCCAGAAACAGGTTGTGGTCTGTGCAAAGTTGCAGTAGACGGTCCCCGTTATCTGACCTGCGACCAACGAGTCCCCATCGGCCACCTAAACGACTCTCTTCTGTGCCTAGACGCCCGACCTGAGCATTCAAGTCTCCGGCTAGTACTACAATATCTGTCGAACGCACTTTCTGGAGAAGAACTGATAACTGGTGGTAAAACTCATCCTTGATTGCATCCGGGCTGCAATCTGTCGGGGCATAGGCGGAGATGACGAAAAGACATCGTTTCTCACGCCGATTTCTTCTCACTTTGATGGAACTTTCTAATCTAACAGCACATAACCGACTGTTAATGGGGATCCAATCGACTAGTGCTGCCTCAGCTCTAGCGCTTAGTGCGACACCAACGCCAGCAAGACCAGACGAAGATGCCACAGGGTCCCCGGATAAGCGCACGTAAAACAAGCTTTTCGAAGCGACAGATGGAGATCGAATTTGTAGTACTTCGCCAGAGTCTTGAATACGGGTCTCGGATAGACAGCAAACATCGATATTAAGACTTTCCAAAGACATAGCCAGCCCTATCTGTTGTCCAACCTGCATAAGTGTGCGAACGTTGAAGGCAGCCAGTTTGAATGATGCACGTGGTTTCATTAAAACTGCTTCAGTACTCATATTCGGTGGTAACATACAATTTTCAACCGGACAATGACTCGAGAACGTTTAGATAGAGTCGAATTTCCACCATGGGCCAGCTGCTGTATAAGTCGTAAAAATAACTATAGACAGAGTAGGAATAAAAGAGGGTGAATAATGTCGTAGTAAATAATTAGAATAATAACAATAATAATGATAATAATAATTTGAATTATTTGATTGTTATTTGGAGCGAGAAAAGTAGTTTCCATAGATATAGAGTTCATCATTTGCGTGTTGGACATTGATTGAATGTCATGACTGCGATGACTTTTCCCGCTCCGTATTCACCCATTTCTTTAGTAGTATCTATATTGGAATATCATATAGGATATTATCGCGAAGAATCTCTAAATACATATCAAAAAGGTCCTTAACAAATGGTTCTAAATCACCCAACAACTCCATAATTTAGTACGTTTCAAAAATGTTTGGCAAGTATTTGGTGAATTTCACGTTGATTGAGTCTGTAATACTAACAACGTTGGTCAGTTTTTAAGTTACGAAGGTCATACAAGATATTTTTCGTATATTCAAATTGTCTTTTGTGCTGCTCTATATTAACTTTTAATTACTGACTTCCATGATAATAATGATAATCGAATGACTAAGTTTTGTTTGATATTTATAAGGTTGACGAAGCAGAATTCGCTGGACTGATTCGATGAAATGCGTATTACTTGATGGCATATGACTATTAATTATTCATACCACCTAGGTTTTCATATATTTTAGTTAAAACAATATTCAGATTTACACTTGACAGAAAACGGTTTAATTCGTTTTTATTGATTGTTTGAATCTACCCGTTGATGTTGAGCATTGCAAATTATCAGTCTCTTTTGGACAAGACAGGCTTTATGAACTCATTAGCTTAGTGGTTAACGCGATGGCGTTTGAAGTGAACAATACTGGGTTCGAGGCCCCGAGTGTACTTCAACTCTTGGACACAGGTACATCCAGCTGACGAGTTGCAAATAGGACGAAACGCGCGTTCTCGATTTCACTACTAACCATCATCCATCTCTGCTTAGAAAACGGTGTATCCAAATTAGTTTAGATCAATAAGTCAACGATAGACTTTAAATATCGCACAG